CCTAATTTTTAACAAATCATTAAAACTAGATGTCCACACATATAAGAATAAAACTAGACACCTGTCTCTTACTACCCAGAAAAGTCTATTCAAAATGGATCAAAGACCTAAGATTTAGACCAAAAACTTCATCAATGCTAGAAGAAAATGTAGGACCATCACTCCAATACACAAGCACAAGCAACAACTTTCTCAACAGAACTCCCAAGATCAAGAAATAATTCCAATTATTAACAAATGGGATGAAATAAAATTAAAAAGCTTCTGCACAGCAAATAATTACAATTAAAAGCATGAAGAGAGAGCCTATAGAATGGACAAATATCTTTTTTAACTATTCCTCCAATGGAGGATTAATACCCAAAATATCTAAAGAACTAAAAATATTACCATCAAAAAAAATAATACTAATCCAACCAATAAGTGGGCGAATGAACTAAACATACACTTCTCAAAAAAAAAAAGAGATTCAAATGACCAACAAATAAATGAAATGTACCAATATTAAATTTCTTAAGTGTGTTAAATAATAGATATGCTGGAAACTGTCGTAGTTGTTAAGGAATATATACTTGGGTATTCAGGGGGGACTATTACAATGTTTATAATTTACTTCAAGAGGTTCTGCAAAAGTAAACTTTATACATATGTGTATATGCATACATACATACATGCATAGAAAGATAAAGAAAGAGAAACAGCAAAAGCAAAACAGTGACAAAATTTTGATAATTTGTGAATATGGGTAAAAAGTATGCATGTGCTCATTTTCTTACAATATCAACTTTGCTGTGGGCCCAAATTGTTTTAATTGGGTAAATCCTTTAACGAAAAATTCAACTTTCAATTGCTTGAAGATAGGATCCACACCTTTTATCTCTGGTATTTATCAAATAAGAGACAGTCTTATTATACAAACTGAATACATTAACTAACCAGTTAATTAGTATATAAATATAAAATGATGAATAATGGATTCAGATTAGTTTAAGAATCCTGAAATAGGTACACTGATGAGAATCATCTATGAAAACTTGCTTTCTTCTTTTGTAACAATGTTCTTTTTTTAATTTTTATGAAAAAAATTTTAAATCTATACAAAGGTAGAAATACTTGTTAAATACATCCCCAAGTACTTATCAATTGGCTTAAAGAACCAACTCATGACCAATCAAGCTTCAACTATACTTTCATTTACTTATTCCCCATCCCCTGGAGTATTTAAGAGCAAATATCAGATATCACATAGTATCTTGGCTGTGAATATTTCTGTATTTACATCATAAATATAGAAGCCCGTAAGAAAATAACCACAATTTCATTATCACACCTAAAATATAATAAACTTTCCTTAATAGCATTAAATATAAAAATCTCCCAGATTATCTCATAATTTTAACCTTTGATCTTCAAATCAGGATTCAAACAGCATCCATTCAAGCACACTGTAAAATGCCAATTCTCACAATCCCAGATACCTGTTTGATTTATTACCACAATATTCATCCCTCCTCTTCACCAGTAAGACATGAAAAAGGAGAAGGGAATGATGAGTTTTTGCTACCCACTGGTCCAACAGACCTTAGCCTCACTCCTGCTCTTATCTGATGGTACAAAACAAGCCAAGTTCAGCAATTTAGATAACTCTTTGTCATTTCCTGGCACAAATATTCACTGGTTTGTGATTTTTTTAAAAATTAATTAATAGACTAAAACCCACATTAGAAATGCCTGACTTGTTTCCCTTGTGTAACTACAGTGTTGATGGCAATCAAAGGTGGTCATTAAAACATATATTGTAACAAACAATGCCTTAATTCCCCATCTTTACCAGGGAACCCCAGCCAACCTCTGAAATGTCTCCTAAGAGATAAATCCCACAGTAATATTTGTTTTCTAATACATACAATAACAATGAAAGAAAATATTATTCTCTTTGACACTACTTAGTGCAGGTAAAAGCTTTATGACTCACATAATTATTTTATATTTAAACCTAAGCTTGTGTTTAAATATATAAGTATTCAGATTTTAATCTGCAGTAAGTAAATTTGCATTTTTCCTTTCAAGTCTTGTTATTCTAACTGCTATCAAGAAATGCCTCTAACTAAAATACTTACTAAAGTGACAACCCTAAGTAAGAGGCTCTCTCTCCCCTTTACTCATTGTTTCAAGCCAGCCTTTCGTTAAAGGGCTTATGCTTTGGAAATAGTTGAACATAAATAGGGAAGGCCCCAGCAAAGCTTTTAGAATTATTTTCCATATTTCCAGCTTTCTATTCCCTATTTGCCTTGTTCTGTATATGTTCCCCAAACCTCCTTTCTCTTTTTCCCAATATCCTTTACACATTTTACAACTGAAGAGCTACAGATGTAATCATTATTAATAAGAATCATCAATGGATATCAAACTATGGATGGAAGATTTTTAGGTTACACAGAATTCACACATGCTAAAATATTTTTTCAGAGTTACTAATTGCATGGGGTAAAGGTACCTTTAAAAGGGAGGGATCTAGTGATCACCACTTCAGTGATCAAATTTGACCAAGCACTAATAGTGACACAATCCAACTTATAAGCCCCTTGATGGAGTGTATAAAATAAAGCACACATATCTCCTATGAAGTGTTCTTGCCAAAAAATGTTTAAGCTGAATCTAATCAAGCCTCTAGCCCTACCCAATTTATAAGAAGTATAGTGGGTAGTCTAGGGACTATTGTCTGAATAAGCAATTAAAGACAAAATATGAAAAATTTGATTGGAAAACTGTCCTGAACAAAAAGTGGGGAATACTATTCTAAGTGAAAAATATTTAAAAAGTGTAAAGAGACACAATAATCAAAAGTGGTATGTTTGCTTTGATCAGATCCTGGTTTAAAATAACAAGAAAATAATGACAACAGAAAAAAAATAGCTGTAAAAGATATTGTGGGGACAATTTGGGAAACTAGAAAACGGAATGGATATTAAATGATAGTAGGGCTATGTTAAGATGCTGGGCAATATAAAAAATGGTAGTAGAGAATTATTATTTCCTTAGATATAGTAACTTTATGGGGATTATTAGAAGAATATCCCTATTCTTAGGAAATAGATGCTGAGTCACTTAGGGATCAAAGGTATGATACCTGAAACCTACATTCAAATGGTTCATAGGGAACCTGCCAGTGTGGCAGAATGTTAACAGTTGTTGAATCTAGGTGGTCAGTATGAATATTCTCTATACCGTCTTTCTAACTTTTATGGTTATTTAATTTTTTTCTTAAAAGGTTCTATAAAATACAAATAATGATGAACTTCTTGCTTGGGCTGGGATGGTGGGTGCTGCTTTTTCAATCTGTATAAATTGAAGCTGGTCTGAAAAAGAATTGGATTAACTACTGTATTATGAGAAGCTGGGCTGAGGAGAAAGTGGTGAAGATTTCCCTCAGTGGCTACTTTCTATCTCCTTTTTCCTATTTTCCTTTTTAGTATCTGGTATTTACAGGTAATTTCCATTCCCTTCTCATAACTTAGAACAGTCTTCTTAAAGTAGCCTGAGGCACTTGACCAGCCTAACTTCCACAATTATCCTCTTTCTACCTAGGTTAACTTGATCCCTTTTAACTTTAACACACGCACAGATTCTTTTCAATTTTGACTCACCCTAACCCATTTTCTTCACCTAATTTGTGGAAGCCATAATCCTTCATCCATTTTGGTCACCTCCTCTTATTATTATTTAAAGGTACATTTAGAGGAATTTGCATTTTTATTAAACCTATGAGGTGATTTTTCGGTCTGTAAGCAAAAAGGCACTGACATGGCCAAAAAAAATGTAAAACTATAGGTATGTTTGTGTTTAGTAGTGATGGTGACAGTGATTGGAGGAATCTATTTACCCCCTTGTATACTTCTTTGATATCAAAATAAAATAAAAATGGGCTAGGGATGTACTTTGTAGAACAGTGCTTTTCTAACATCCATAAGGCCCTGGGTTCAATAACTAGAATTGTGAAAAAAAAAGAAAGACAAGGAGGAGGGTAAAAGGAGAGGGAAAAGGAGGGAGAGCCATATCTAAATCAGTATAATTCTAATTTATTGGAATAACAACAATTTCATTGTGCAAGATACTTTAGTTATTCCCACAAAATAACAAAAGAATATATAATAAAAGACAAAGAGAAAGTGCATTAGTAAAAGAAAAAGGTAAAATAAGAATAAAAGAAAATTAGAGTTTCCAGTAGAGCTTTTATTTAGATAGTAAGACAAATTTTTAAAAATACCAAAAAAAAATCTTTTTTTGCAATGTTTTAAAAATCTACATATGAAGACTCTTTAGTCACATTTAAACAAAAAACAAATACTGCTCAATTATAGCAATAGTAAAGCTTCTGTTCATGATCTTTGATTAATTTCTGCTGAAATCTAATATATGAAAAATTTAGAAACAAAATTACAAAAGTAACCAATAAGAAAACATAATCATAAATCTCTGTTTTAAAACACAACCAACATGGTCCTTTCTACTTTTTAGTATCTCTTATGAAAATTCTAAGACAATGTAGACCCAAATAACTCAGTTATAAAGCCAAAATAAAGCTATAAAATCATCTTTGGGTTTTAATGGGTTTTAAATACCAGAGATAAAAAGAAGATTTTAATCTTTATTCTATTTTTTTAAGATTTCTAAACAAATAGAATACTGTTTTTCTTATTTAATACTTTCTAATTAAATAAAACATAAAATGCTAGAAAAAAATTTTATACACACCTTGCATCTATTACAAATATTATGTAATTCCATTTAGTATGAATTATTCAACAATACTTTGAGTCATTTAAAACAAAGTATGGTTTACTATACAGTTTGAGAATTAGTCTATCTTTGGTTTATTTTTAAGTTTTTTTGTATGTAAATTGTACTATATGGAATCACTCTACTACATATAAAGATAACTTTCAAACAGCAAGAACAAAAATTATTTAAATACACATTTTTTCATAATTTTTCCATACCTTTAGCTAAAGCTTCTTTATATTTCTCTTTGGCAGAATTCATTTCTTTTATTAACTGTCTATAACTGGATTTTAATTTCTCCAATTCTGTTTTTGTAACCTGTCAAAAAAATAAAATGCAGAATTTTTTAACATTTAAATTTAAATCAAGGAAGGCAAGAGGGGAGAGAAAAGGGAAATACTGGAAAATGATATTGGCCAAATTATATTGTGATATTGTGACTATATATGAACAAATTCCAACATATATACAACTATAATGCACCAATGAAAACCAAGGAAAAATAAATAAGTTTAAATTGGTCAAGAACTTGAATTCCAAAAAAACTAATTGATATGTATTTTACTACTTATAGCCCTTTACTGTACAATTATAGCCAATAAAACTACGAATTAGCTTAAAATCAGTGATAAATTCAACATGATATGATAACAGATAAACTTCTCAAAAGAGGAAAATTAAGAATAACACTATAATTGTCTAAAATCTAAAGACTAAACAAATTAACTTGCAGGATACCAAAATATTCGCAATAAGAAAAAGTTAAAATATTTAACCATTGTATAAAGTAACTTCACATTATTGGAAAACAGATAAATTTCTTAAGAATAAGAGCAAGACAAAAATCATGCCCTCTCGTCCTTTCAAGAGAAAACTCAGTCACTAACTTTTTTGTTTTTAATTTTTTTTTTTTAGTTGTTGATGGACATTTATTTAATGTAGTGCTGAGAATCAAACCTGGTGCCTCACACATGGTAGGCAAGCACTCTACCACTGAGATACAACCCCAGCCCCACTGGTTAACTTTTAAGTTGCTAAAGAACCAATTTATTATTGTGAAAATTAGCAAATTAATTTTTAAAAAAGCAAGCATTCATCTGACTTTTCCTATATGATATATATTTTAGGGTAACCAGATAAGAAAAGTCTTCTTTATAGAAAACTTTTAGTTAAATTGCATTAGGAAATGATAAAAGTGAAATATTGCTATTTCAAAAATCCCAAGAAAATAACGAATCTAAGTAACAAACATCGATCAATAGGTTATATAATAAGGCAATAGATTGCCTAATAAGGCAAAAGATTGCTGGGAAACTTCTCTAATATATTTATTAGGCTGACAAGACTGATACCTGTTAGCAAAGTTTACCACCACAGAAAGATAAAGAAACAGGCATTATATACCTTCTGATATGAAAAAACAGAAAGTCTACATCACCACCCATGATGTATTCTTGCCCAAAATAAACAGAATCTCATTAAGCCTCTAAATCTAATTTTCAGTTTACAAGAAAAATGGAGAATGAAGGAATTATAAGAAATCATATCATGAGATGCAAACAGTAAAATCCAAAATGAAGAAAACAATTCTATTGAGCAAATTATCCACTTTCTTCAATAAATGAATGCCATTTTGTTAAAGGGACAGAAAGAAAAACCTACAGATTAAAAGAAAATTACTATTTAAATGCAATGTATGGACTACATTTGAATCCTGATTCAAACAAAGCAACAGTAAAAACATTTTAACAACAATAATTTGAATGTAGGATATTTAATTATTGTCACTTTAAGGTGGATTGATGGTGATGTTATGTTTTTAGAAGGTCTTAACAGTGTAGAAGAAAAAGTGGGTAGGACTAGAGAAAGAAAAAAAATATGTTGTCTATGTGGATCATGGGTAAAAGAGTTCATGTGCCTATTCTTCTCTTTGTTTGTAAGCTTATAAACTTCCATAACAAAAACAGCTTTAATAAATTATCCAGAAGACAAAATCTGAGTATGACAAAATTTTGGAAATACCTTAAATAAATTATTTTGCCTATTTCTGTATTATTTATTCTTTGTTATCTATGCACAGTGTTACGTGATACACATCTAATTTTTATAAAGGCTAAAATCTATTTCAGTAAATAAAAAGTAATCTAAGTGATTTTCAAAAAGCACTCTGTTATAGGTTAATTGGCAGCACATTTTTCTTTTTTGCAAGTAGATAAAGTAACTATTTATCTTGTAAGATATAAGATACTACTTATTAGAAACACCAAATCTATTTCTTGATAGGAAATGATGAATAAACAATTCTTACGTCAAACAGGATAAAATATTCATCAAGTTTAAACACAAATTGAAGAAAGAATTCAATAGGGAAAGACAAACCTTGATCATCTCTGCCTCTATCTGCTGATGGACACCTACGTAACTTTTCTTCACCTGCTGCTTGTCCTTGATCATCATGGTAAGCCTGTGTAAGGGTCCAGAGTTTAGATCCTCTGCATGCGTCTTCATTATCCTACTAAGTTGTTCAGTCTGCTGAATCATAAGTAGCCAAGACTTAAAAAAAAAAAAGAAAAAAAGAAAGAAAGAAAGAAAGAAAAATTGCATTGTATTAGAAGCTCCTGTTTAGCTATGATTTAAGTGTTCAAAACCTTTAAATATTTAGCTTCCTATAAATTATTACACTAATATAAAATGAGAGATTTCTGGAAATTGTGCAGTGAATTATGGATGATTTGTATTTAACATCTTCAACTACAGGTGCTTCAAAATTCAGTATTCAAGGGCTATACAGAATACTAGGAAAAGGATTAAGGGATCCTGAAAGTCTACGCTTGGACTTCACATTTGTTTTCCAATACGCTGAAATACTGTTCTTCTCACACCATTCAAATGCCCCAGTAAGGCTACCAGTTCCTAATAGTCAAACAGTCCTATCTTCATCTCAACCTGCCCTTCTGTGGCATTTGATCCTGGCGACTGAACTTGGTTTCCTTTTCCATCTATCTTTAGTGAACAGGAACATTCCCACCTTATTTTCTTCTTTTCTAAAATTTCCTTCTCAGCCTTTGGTGCCTGCTCTTCTTTTGTTCCCTTTGCCTTAAATACTGGATTTCTGCATAGTTTCCACTTTTTTAAATAAATACAATTAGTTCCCAATAGCACAACATACCTAAGGGACATAATAGAGCTACATAATGGTGAATTTGAAAGTATGGGCATATGGAGACTGCTAGAAAAATTTTATTATTAATTTGTTTATTTATTAAAATCTAATAGACTTTATAACCTACATATACTGAAAATAAAAAAGAGGAAATGTTCATTATAATTGTTCATATATTCTGCTAGGCACAGTGTTACATGCCTATAATCCCAGTGGTTTGGGAGGCTGAAGCAGGAGGATCATGAGTTCAAAGCCAGGCTCAACAAATTACAAATTAGCGAGTCCTTAAGCAACTCAGTGAGACTGACGCTCCCCACCCCGGCTCTTTTTTTTTTTTTTTTTTTTTTTTTTGGTCCTAGGGATTGAACTCAGGGCCACAAGACCACTGAGCCACATCCCCAGCTCTGTTTTGTATTTTATTTAGAGACTGAGTCTCCCTAAGTTGCTTAGTGCCTCACTCTTGCTGAGGCTGGCTTTGAACTCATGGTCCTCCGGCCTCAGCCTCCTGAGTTACTGGGATTGCAAGTGCATACCACCATGCCCAGCTGAGACCCCGTCTCTACATAAACTATAAGAAACGGCTGGCATGTGGCTCAGTGGTTAAGCGCCCCTGAGTACAATTCCTGGTACCCCAACCCCCAAAAAATCTATTCTGAATTAAATTACTGGAGAACTATCATAGTCACAGAATATCCATATAAAAGATACAACAACACAAAAGACAAGGAATGATTTCAGATATTTATAAGAATAATTTTCTAGTCTATTACTCTTTTACCTGTAAGTGAGCAAGATTATTCTTGTCCTATTAACATTCTAGTAGAATCCTAAACTGACATTTCATTAAGAATCTATATCAAAGCTACAGCCTAAAGTACTTGTAACTCTTAGTCACAGTCTGACTCCAGGTGTAATTGGTAATCTTATTTTATATACATTTCAATATGCTAAAAGAGTAAATAACAATCTTTGAGAATATTTGTTTGAGGAGAGGAACTGTTTCCAGTGGGAAATGCTATTATGTACATAAAAAGTGATAAGTGGCTTATGAACCCATTATATTTACTTTCAAGTTTGAAAATGTAACACATAGTAGGATCTTTACACCACAAAGTAATTTAAAACTGATGTAGCTCTTCCTTTAAAAATATAAAATTTAGGGACTAGGGTAGTGACTCAGTGGTAGAGCACTTACCTAGCATACATGAAGCACTGGGTTTGAGTCTCAGCATCACATATAAATAAATAAATAAATAAATGTCCATTGACAACTATTATATATACATATATATGCATATATATATGTATACATATATACATATATATACTTTAACAAAGATGAAAACAATAAAAACTATACAAAGTGAATTAAAAATAAAAATTAAATAGCCATAATAATTGGTGTGGTTTTGCCTATTTATCTAATATTTTCATGATGAAAATACAATATTGAAAAAATATCCTATGGTATGTGCACAATGTTGAGGTACAAATAGCTTTAACATAATAGGTAAGTAAGAAGAGTCAGTGTTCTTGCTCTAACTCCAAACAATAAATATTTTCTAAGTGCAATAAACATTTGTAATTCTGTGTAGCAGTTCTTACAGCACAGGGGAGAAGCCTTCTTATAAGTGAACATCAAAAACCACACAATTAGATCGATTGCCCTCCTTTCCCAGTAGAACATATCCACACTGCCTAATAGCCCTTTTCACTGGAGTGACTGCAGGAAGTCCAAGGTCCCAAAGTATACATTATCATTCTGTCAACATCTTCTTGCCCTCAATGTCTCCTAATCCCACACAGGTCACTATCTATAGAATCTGGTACCCTCAGGAACTCCTGCTTTCTAATTAGAAAACTCCTCATACCTCTTACTAGAATTTTCCATGTATCTTCTAGCTTTAGTAAAAATCTGGTTCACTTCTATTTCCAAAGCCCCAATATTGCTAATAAACATTCTTGCTCTTCTTTCATAAGTCCATGCTCTGTTGAAACTCAAGCCACCAATCCCCATCAACAAGTCTTCAGATGCTACCTCCAAAATCTACCATACTTTTCTCCATCTCCACTGCCACTGCTTTGGAGGTTATAATTATCTTTAGCTTAGACATACCTCCCAAATGCTATATACCCATGTTTCATTCCAATCCATTCCCCCTTAAAATAGCAAAAGAAATTAATAACACTGTCTTTCCTAAACCTCTACACTGAGATTTTTATGTATTTAAAGAAAAGTCCAACTATTATCTAAGATCTATAATATCTCCCATTACCTGTCCTCTTTCTCTTTCTAACATTATCCTTTGCCATTTTTCACCAAGTTAAGTAAATTTTAGGAGCATCATTCTTTATTTGGTTTCCTTAACATATCAAGCTCCAATCTCCTTCTGGAAGTTTTTCCTCTCTAATACAAGCTCTTCCTCCCCTTTATATTGCAGGATCCCTCTCTTTGTTTAGTGATCAGTTAAATGTCATGTAGGTCTAATCCCTATCACTCTCTCTCTACAAACAATTATTGATCTGCTCATATATTTGGTAGAATTGTTCTCTTTTTAAAAATAATTTTAGTTGTAGATGGACACAATATCTTTATTCATTTTTATGTGGTACTAAGGCTCGAACCCAGTGCCTCACATGTGTGAGGCAAGTGCCCTATCACTGAGCCACAACGCCAGCCTGGATTTGTTCTTTTTAAGGCCTCCAAAATTAGAATGGAAGTTCTGTGAAGGCAGTATCATGTCTCTTTGATCATATTTCAGGTATTTACTGTGATGTCTAAAATAATAGATAACAAACACTCATTGAAATAAGAAAAGAAGGAGGGGCAAACAAAGAGAAGGAGGGATGATATAGAATAAAACCATGAATAGAATATATGCCATAAAAATGATTTAAAAAAATTTAACCCAGAATTAGATAGTATTGTACAAAAAAACAGCTTGCTAATTATGTTGCTTATAGTGAGATTTTACCAGTAGTAAAAGTCACTGATCCTTAAAGTTACAGAAAAGTTAAGAAATATTAAAAAGTAATAATAGCTAAGTAGTAGACTATATGATTAGCATGCATGATGCCCTGGGTTCAATCCCCAGCACCAAAAACAAACCTTACATTTAATTTTAGAAAAATTTAATCACATATAAAGAACAACAAATTTGGAAAAAAAAATACTATAAGAAATTTTACAAACTAGAATTTAAATATAACTATTAACAGAAAAGCTACAAAATATAAAGGTACTAATAAGTTAACTATAGTAGACTATACAAAAATCCCAGAGAATATTAATAAAAATTAGGAGTGACTGATGGGAAGTTTATTTTCTAACTGTTCACAGAGAAGAGTTCAAATATAGCTTTAGTTCTAAAGTTTATAAATCAAGAAATATATGTTTAAGTGTGCAATTCTTAAATTTCAAAAGGTAAATAAGTGATTATTTAGGAAAAAAAACACTTCATCTACCTTCTGTAACATTAGAACTAATTTTTTGGATTTTCTTGTTTGTTTGGTTTGGGGTTTTTTTTGTTGTTTTTTTGTTTGTTTGTTTGTTTGTTTTTGTATGTTCCGGGGACTGACCCGAAGGCCTATGCATTCTAAAAAAGCACATACTCTACCACTGAGCTATCCCCCTCCTAGCCCTGAATATGAGTTTTAAGGAAAGATAACACTGACCTTTAAAAAAAGAGAGAGAGGAAAGAATATTAAAAAAAAAAAACAATGAATAACAACTGAAAGTAAGTTACAAAATAAAAATGATACTCAAAGTATCTGTTAAACATATGAAAATTAGATAAACATCTCTGATTAAAAAAACATCAAGTTGGGGAGGGATAAAACTTCACTGCATGTAATATATAAAAAACAGACACAAAGTTAAATAACATTTAACAATAACAACAACAAAAAGACAAGTAAAAGCCCCCCAGAAAAATGTGAACAAGATCCAACAGGTTACATTCAAATGACACACACAGTTGAATTTTAGGCACAAACTATAAAAAAAGAATGTCAATTAAAATGAATGTGTAACTGTGAGAAATCTTTATGTTCCTCAAACAGTACCATCGAAATACGAAAAGTAAAAATGATGGGCAATACAATAACAAGTCCAAAGTAGTGACAGAATTATGTATACCCATCTCTGCTTGTGACAGATGAAGTTAAAAAAAACTATAGAGTATCAAGTAATTTAATAATCAATCTATTTGACCTAACATTATATATATTTTTTTTTTTTTTTTTTATAGTACTAGGGGCTCAAACCCAGGACATTACATATGCCAGGCAAGTACTGTACCACTGAGCCACAACCCCAGTTTTAAATACATTGACTTAAAATAAAATAAATATAATAAAATCCAATAGTTGATTTCTAAGACTCATACCG